TATATTTATTATGTACGAAAAACCAGTTTAAGAAGGTCAGGTAAAAACCAGTTTTTAAGGGTGTTATCTTAATGTCTGAGTGTTGTGTTATTTCAAAAACTTGTTTTATTTACTTGTTTGACTCATTTGATATCAGTCGCTTTTACTACTATTATTCAACTAAAAATGGTAAGTCTTTGTTTAGTTATGTATTTTAAACAAATATTTATTTAGAATAATTATTTTAACTAATTATTTAAATTTTGATTAGGCCGTTCGTCGATCTCTTCGTATACAACAAAGGAATCTGAGATCTCAAGAGCCTGTAAATAACGCTAATGCGGTTAATAATATACCATTGATTAAAGAAATCATCGATAAACGGTATAACTTTCTATCACTGGAATACTTCGTTTGTTTCAATGACGCAAGTCGTCGCAACGGTATGTGGTTAACAAATTTTGAACTACGACTACAATGTAGACATTTATTCGTCCGTCATTTAAAAATACATTTCGAGAATTGGTATGATGAAGTGCGCGTCGGTACTCGACCACGTTATAATGACTACCCTATGGTCCTCTACTCGGAAATTCCAGTTGTAATGGAAATTCCCGAAAATTATCAGTATCTTCGTGACTCACTTGTTGGTCCAGCCGGTTTTATATTGAGGACTAAAATTTTGGAGTACATCACTAACGAAGCTTTTAATTTCAAAACTGGCTTTCAAGAACATCCGTCAGCAACACAAGGAGGTATTATTATTGATAAGCGTGTGACGATGGTAGAGTTTTTTCGTGATGTCTTGCTAACGTGGCGTCAAAGCGATTTATGTGAAGAATTCTACATATGGTCGCATATAATAGGGCAAAACTCCGTACTTAAGCAGGATATGGAAGTAGTTAATTATAACATCATACGGCAAAATTGGGGTTCTTTCACTTTCGTTGATCACAGGGAAGTGGCTACAAATTTCATTGAATTTCATCGTCACCACAAGTTTATTAACCTCTTCAGTCATCACAATGACTTCGTATTCGATAAGACTTCACTAATGTTAACTTTACTTCATGAGACAAGCACTGGCAATGAGGTTTGCTTCATATGATCTTATTTTTTTATTATTATAATTAATATTATCTTATGTCTCCTCGGTCATAGGTATTGTCGTTCAACACTTATTTCCCTGGTTCTCATAGTTTCAACGACGGATACATTACTTCCAACCACGCTAAACATCGTACTTCGGTTAAATTAAGAATGAGGCAACCGACAGAAGAATACAAAGTCTTCTCCAACAACCTTTGTCAAGTTGACTCGATGATGCAATGCTTAGAACTCATCAGTAAACTACTTGATAAACGAAGCACGGACTTTTATTTTCTTAATTAAATTACTTATTTTAATTTTTTTTTTTTCATTACAATGTATTTAATCAAAGGTTATGGGATTGAATAATAAATAAATAAAATTTTTTATCTTAAAAATTTACTTAATTATTTAAATATATTTTTTTTATAAAAGTAAAATAAATATAAGTAAATTAATATGAGTGTATAAATGTTTTATTTGATTAAACCGTCACCAAAATACAAAGTGATATAAGTAAAATAATATAAAGTATATATTATTGGTAGTCTAAATTAATAGTTAAGGCTTAGTATTGAAGTTGTGTCTTTGTATCCATGAACGAAGCTTTTCGATTTCACTTTCTTCCTCATCAGCTTTCCCTTGAAGTTGCTCATCCAGTCGTCTATATTTCTTCATATTCTCGAAGTAGTACATTAAATGGAAAATTATTTCCATAACTCTCGCGTAGGTTACTGTATCGGTTGGACACACGTTACATACTTTCTTATGATCCAAATAATCGACCGACCCGAAGTCAATGGGATGTTGTAATTGACTCATAATAGAAAACATTAGTTTCAATAATTTTAATAATTTCTTTTGGTCAGACCATCGACCGTTGACCCACAAGTGAATTATTTCATAGAAGTGTTTTATTGTAAACAATTTATTCAGTTCCAAGCGATCATTGTGTAGTTTACTTTCAGATACCCTTTGCTTCAGTAAGATTCCCAAATGCATGAATTGATAATAGGCAACCCTCACCTCAGGTGCCGTGTATTCACTGGCAGTTACAAGAATGTCATTATTGTTGTCGCTTCTTTCTTCGGTCTCTTCACATTCCATGTCCACGTAACAACTTTTTATTTGAATGGAAGACACATCTTCGTCAGAGTCGTCATATCTGATTGTGGCCGACTGGTCGTCATCGATACCAGTTGGAGACAACGAGAGTTTATATAGTCTTCGATCAAGTTTAAGATTAGCCATCACTTCTCGTATATATATATTAAATTTAGCAAATTTTGCAACGTTCAATGATTCATTGTGTCTGTTGTTACATTCCGCGCATTTGGTTTTATGACGTACATAATCGCCGACGAAGTGAATTAATTTTTCGTCAAAACTGTTGATCGTGTTTGCCATTAAGTCCAACTTATCGCGGATAACATTTTTCTCTCCACCATTGAGAATGAATCGTAGGGCATCATCAAAATAGCGCTTGGCGATCCGTATCAATTCAATTTCGCTGTGAAGTGTGAAATCGGATGACATCTCTCGAATATGCATCAGCAGCTGTTTCTTCCGTAGTGAAGTATACAAATGTATAAAATCATAATACAGTTGATAGTCTAGAGCTCCGACTTTGCTATTCACTCCGGCCATAATAATAGGATTAAAAATTTTTCACAAAATAAAAGCTTACTATAGTGTATTAGTTGAAAGTCCAAACACAAATAACAAAAAAATGAGATGAAATTATAATAAATAGCAATTAGTATTATGTTGTTAAACTGGTTTGCAAAAAGTATCCACCTATACAATTATAATACTAGTTTTGTTTAGTTCTCTTAGCAACCCGTTGAGCCTCCTCCATTTTTATTTTAACAATAGCTATTGGCTCTGATCTCATTTTTAATTTTAACAATAGCTGGATTTTTCTCTTCTTTGTCTCTCACCCATTGATATGATAACGAACCGGTTTCATCTATTTCAGGACTTATTTTATTACTTAAATGTCTTTTATACAACTCTAAGGTGAGTTGAGAATCAATTATAGGCGAATGACCCTGTGAACTCATGTCGTATTCTTGTATCAGCTTATCTTTAACTGAATACGCCAGCGATCGAAGCGATAGCTTGTCGTTACTTCCTTTTTTACCGATGAATATTGTCTCAATATCGACGATGTTTTCTCTATCTGCATACTCAGGCAATTCTAACGTTTTTAAATCGTTTTTGACAGCTTTCCCGATAATTTGATAATTATCTAAATAGTATTTAGTTTTTACTTTAGCATCACTCCACTGTACACCGTTAATCATATCTTCTTTCTTCACACCCGAGAATTTAGTCAATGGATTAACTTCATAGGGATTATGTTTTATGAAACAGTGAAAAACAACGTTACTTTTCATTCCGTATTTCTGCAGTTGTCTGACTTTTAAGCGACTGCACACCGCGATCCACAATGGAACCATTTTATTAGTTTTCCGAAAAATTCCACATTCAATATCAATACCTAAACTTATTTCCTTCGGTGGGTCGACACCCACGTACCAATTAATTTCTCTAAAGTTTATTTTTGGTAACGTTTCGCAACGGCGTCCTCGTTTCGTGACACCCCAGCGTTTATTTGACCTCTTAGGAGGTTGTAATTTTACTGGACAAACTAGAGAACCAGTAACTGAAGGCTGTTTTACTTTATCTCTTACTATAGTACTGATAGAGGTACTTTGTATTGACGTAGTGGCTTCACTATCATCATTGCAACCGTCCGTCTTGTTGTTCACCACATCATCTTGGTTATCGCATTGTATAGCGATAGCCTTGTGGACAGGCTTTAGGGATTTATTTTCATAATATGCATAGTTTAATTTTTGTGGATCGTACGTCCCAATACTCTTCGTTTCATCTATTTTCACATAATAGCAAACCACACATGTTTCATTTTCATTATGCAACATGTATTGCCTACAATTTTCTTTCATTTCTTTGTTATAATCCAGTAAATTAGTTAAAGATTTGTACATTGTAATCTCAGTTTCACGGGCTGTTCGTATAGCGTCTCGAAGAGATTTTCCATATTTTCGACAAAAATAAATTTGTTTTAATTGTTTTATAAGTGTTTCGACGTCTGATACAAATAATTCTTCGTTGAATTTACGTTTTCTTAACTCATCCTTAACCAATATATTTTTTAATAACATTTTGTTTAATTCCTGTACCGACTTCATGTAACTGTCTCTATAGTATTGAAGCCGTCTTATATAATCGTTATTTTTCTCAATTTCATTTGTAGATAATTTGTCGAAAATTCGATGAAAAAGGGTTTTCTTATTCACTGAAAATAAACAGAAAATGCTTTAAAGCTCTATTCGATCGATAATCAATCAATGTGTTTATTTTCAGTTTCAGGACAGAGATATATAATCGGGTGCGGAACAACTCAACACACGCCGTAATCCCACTGTTTTAAGATAACAGCAATCTAATGAGTTTTAAAGTGCCCATCACACTTGAACCCAAAGCCATCCTCGGAAGACCAGAAAATCCCGGACGAGCCCCCATAAAATGTAACGTCCTGCGTCGCTACTTCGACGTAAGGGTGAATCGGCTTTAAGTCGCCAGTGTCGTAGGCACCATGTAGATCTCGCACCGACCTGTATTTGTAATATTCGCTCGCTTTCGCTCGCTTTCGCTCGCCAGCGCTATGCAGACTTTACGACTCTGCATCTTACGATTCCCCAACGCTGCACTAGGTCACCCTGCGGTGGCTACTCTACGACGCCGTAGCCTGACCGTGGCCGATCCTAACCATACCCATGAAGTACGTAACGTTAACTCGTCTACTCGGATTGTCGTCTATGAAGTTTGTCTGTCTAGGGGTTAATCGCATCGCGAAGTTATACGTTGTCTAGGGGTTGTTGTATCGCGTAGTCATAAGTTGTCTAGGGGTTCTCGACGGCCATCCGATAACCGCCTTCCGGTCGCTCCCGATGTGGCGATGGTATTACACTGTCGGCCCTTTGGCCTGATCTGATCGAGACCTCATCTCGAGCCTCAACCGTCTGGCGACGGGAAGCGAGACGATACCAATGGTCTCGACTACCTACCAAAATGAAGATCAGAGATTCCCTAGCCTCGACCGAACGACTCGGGAGGTGAGACTCTGTCTTAGTAAACAAATCTTACCCGATCTCTGTCCCACACTTACGCGACTACCGTCGCCGGCGAACGCAAGGCCCGAAGGCCTGCGCCTACAAACACTTTAACTTACTGTTGCTTTTGCTAACCGTCACCACTTTATTGATTAAATATATATAAGTATAATAAGGGTTACAATAATAGGTAATACACGTCCTCTCGTCTCGGCGTCTCGAACTTCACTTCTTCTCCAGTCACTCAAGTGACTAGGGAACAGAATGCTCGGCACATTTCCCGAGTCGGCGCTCTAATCATACCAATCATATACTACTTATTAGTGACACAACTATATAAACTACTCTCTTATTGGCTATTACTGTCTCAGCCTAGTTAATACGTACCGGTTGTCATTAAACTAGTTATTGCCTTAAAATAATGCAATCAAGGTTTCTAATGCTATAAGGCATATGTAGTATACTGTATGCTATAGTGTTATTTACTAGTTATTATAATATAGTGTCAATTAATACAATAGTAATGTATTAGTATCGTTAGTGCCGCTAATGCTGAAATATACTGCTATGTATTATAATGCTATGCTGTATACACTACTGTGTATTAAAGAGCTATGCTCAATACACCGCTATGTATTATGATGCTATACTGTATACACTACTGTGTATTACAAAGCTATGCTCAATACACTGCTATGTATTATGATGATATGCTTCGTACCTCACTATATAACTTCATATGTATATGAAGCCTAAAGTTATGAAGCTATGAAGCTTTAAGGCCTCTACTGAGGCTTAATCTCCGTCAAACGTGACAATATATATCATAGAAATATTTATTAATTTATTTTCATTAATTTCATCAAATTTTCATAATAATATTTTTATTAATTCAATTTTTATTTAATAACAATATTAATTAATTTTTAAAATTTTTGTGTTTCCATAAATTTAGTGTACATCTCTATATAATCAATTGTGAATTGGGTTCAAAAAAATATTTAATTTTTAAAGATTTAATTGATAAAAATCTAATCGATACATTGGCTATTGGTGATTTTGCTTATCAAAAATTTAAAGATATTTTTCAATGTACTTGGCCAGTTAAATATTTATATGTTATCAATTATTTTAGTCTAGTCAACCTTGATGATATACCGGATATAATTTATTTGTATAATGCACTAGATAGATTGACCTTGATAATGATATTTATAACATTAGCAGTGCTAATTATGCTTAACAAATCAATTGATTATTAGTATTATAAAAATCTAAATAATCCAATTAATAATAATAATATTAAGTTGCTAGATTATTTACTAATTTATTTGATGCCAACAATTACTAATAAAATCTATAGAAAATTAAAAATTAGTAAAAACTTCTTATACATACTATGGCTAATATTATTGATACCAATGTTGGCCACAATTAATAATGATTTATTGAAAAATATTGTTGTCAGGTATAGTATTGAAATTTTTTCAATTAATTATATAATAATTTTGTTTTTTAACAATTTTATTTTTAAAAAAATTAATATTTTACAGACAATCGACTACTATTGATACAATTGATGATATTTTAGATGAAAATAAAAATATCCAAATATATTATCCAGTTAATTACCAGTTAGCAATATCAATTTGTAAAAATATACACCATCAATTAGGCTACATAGATATTGATAGTGAATCCGAAAATTATCTAGATAAATTACATAAACTAGGTAATCGTGCCATGATATTTGAATTGATCATGATGAAAACATTGATCAACGATTTAGCTAGATTTAGTAGAAATAAATTTACTAGGAAATATTCGAAAATTATCTGGCTCAATTGGCACGATGATTTTCAAATGTTGTTACGTACAATTAAAACCCTTTTAGCAATAATTTACCTATACATATTGGTCAACCTTATATTAATAACTATGTATCACTATTTTGTCATGGACCTGGGTTCAAATTTCAACATCAAGCTTATCGAATGTATGAATTAATTAATTAATTAATTTTTTAGAAATTTTAATTATTATAGTATTATATTAATAATATTATAAATGTTATTATTTTATTGAAACAGTTTTTTTTGTTTGTTTATTAATTATTATTATTTTTTAACAAAAATTTTAGATATTATATTAATATTATAAATATTTTTTTGACAGTATTTTATTGTTTGTTTGTTAATTATTATTATTATTTTTTTAATTATAATTATTAATAATATTATAAATGTTATTATTTTATCGAAACAGTATTTTTGTTTGTTTATTAATTATTATTATTTAAAAAAAAAAATTTAGTTATTATATTAATATTATAAGTATTATTATTTATGATTGTTTGTTAATTATTTTTATTATTTTTTTATTATATATATATATAGTAATCAAAATATATTTGAAATGGGATTAATTCAACATTGGGACAAACATTTTAGCTATGTACAAGATCAATGTACTAGCTAATCTAATTAAAAACTATAAACTAGATCAATTGTTAAATAGTTATCATATGGATAATAATAATAATGATGATGATCATGGTGATTTAATTAATATGAAACTATTGAAATCATTGTTTTTGATTGTAACTTATATAATGATTAGTATAGTATTAATAATATTTGTTGGTGGTGAAATTATTTATTTTAATTTTATTAAATATATAATTGTTTTTTAAAATCATTTTTAAAAAATCATTTATATGTAAACTTGTAATAACTTTTTTTTTAAATAATAATTTTTATTACAACTAATTTATAACTTATTTTTTATAAAAAAAATCAATTTTAATAACCTTATAAATAATTATAAACAACTTGTGATAGTATTGTATTGTTAATTAGTTTAATTAAATTATAATTTTATTGATAAATAAATAATTTATTAACTTTTTTTTGTTTCAACAATTTATACTATTACTATATTGATTAGTATAATATATTAATAAAATTATTTATTTTAATTTTATTAAATATTTTAAATAATTAATTTTTATTGTTGTTATTGTAGTAGTTGTTGTTAAATTCATAAATAAAAAAAAATAAATTATAATAAATGTAAAACATTTTGAAAAAAATTTTTTTTAAATTATTAAACATTATTTTTTTACACTTATCTTATATTATAAAATAATCATTTAATTAATACATTAATAGTATTTATTATTTAAAAAAAAAATTTCAGTTGATTTAGTTGGCTGTAGTTCAGTGGTGTTTAGTCAGTGGTGTTGACTACTAGGCCTTTAATACACACCTAATCAACAACAAAGTGTATCTATGACTACATGTGTCGACACCAAAAAAAACTACTGTTATTAAAAAATTATATAACGTTAGAAAAATAATACTAAATAATAATAACTGTAAAAGTATTTTGAATATAAACTATACTTAAAATATATACAATAATATAACAGTTATACTTTATATAAGATAATATGATATATATTTTGTAATAAATTAATTTGTAAAAAATTTATTTTATTGTTTACAATTTATTTTGTGATAAAATTTTGTTTTATTTATATTTAATTATTTATTTGTTGTTGTTGTTGTTGTTGTTGAATAACATTTTTTGTTTTATTATATTTTGAAAACTAGTAAAAATTTGTAATTTAAATTTTTATTCAATATTTATAGATGCTATTAATAATATTAGTACTGTATTAGTAATAATACTGTATTTATTATTATTGAATTAACAATAAAATAAAATAAAAAGCAATTTTCATAACTAGTTTTCAAGTTGTTTATAATTAATTTATAAGGTTATTAAAATTGATTTTTTTGTTTTTGAAAAATAATAATTTAGTTGTTAATAAAAATGATTATACTATTGAATAAATTTAATGTTTTATTTTTAAAAAAAAAGTTATTACAAGATTATATAAATGATTTAAAAAAAAAAAACAATTATTTAACAATAAAATTAAAATAAATAATTTCACCAACAAATATTATTAACAATATACTAGTCATTATATAAGTTATAATTAAAAACAATGATTTCAATAGTTTCATATTAATTAAATCATCATTAGCATCATAATTATCCACAATGTTATATTTATAGCTATTTAAAAATTGTACTAGATTAGAATTTTTTATCGAATTAGCTAGCACATAATCTTTTATATAATCTAAATGTTTGTCCCAATGATGAATTAATCCCGATTCAAATATAACTTTATTACTATAAATATATTTTTTTTAAAAATATTAATTAATAAAAACAAAAAATATTTGTTAAATATATGTATAGATTTATAATATTAATAATTAAATTACTAATTAATTAAATTACTAATTAATTAAATTACTAATTAATTAAATTACTAATTAATTAGATTACTAATAAATTAAATTACTAATTAATTAAATTACTAAATAATTAAATTACTAATTAAATTAAATTACTAATTAATTAAATTACTAATTAATTAAATTACTAATTGATTAAATTACTAATTAATTAAATTGCTAATTAATTAAATTACTAATTAATTAAATTGCTAATTAATTAAATTGCTAATTAATTAAATTACTAATTAAATTAAATTAATAATTGATTTAATTAATTCATACATTTGATGTGCTTGATCTGGAAATTTGAACCCGGGTCCATGACAAAATAGTGATACATAATTATTAACATAGGGTTGACCAATATGTATTGGGAAATTAGTAACGGTTTTAATTGTACGTATCCACAATTGTTGATCATCATGCCAATTAAGTAGGACAATTTTCGAATATTTAGCTAAAAATTTGCTAGTACTCAAATGGACTAGATCATCTAAAATTTTATATATCATAGCTATATCTAAATCGTCGGCAACATTACCTAGCTTAGTTAATTTATCAACAAATATTTCACTAGCACTATCTAGTTCAAAATCAATATTTTCGCGTATATGTCCTAAAATTGAAATAACTAAATAGTAATTATTTGGATAATATATTTTAATATTATTATTTTCATCTAATATATAATCAAGTGTATCAATAGTAGTTGATTGTCTGTAAAATATTAATTTTTTTTAAATAAAATAGTTAAAAAACAAAAATTATTATATAATTAATTGAAAAAAAAATTCTAATACTATACCTGACAACAATATTTTTCAATAAATCATTATTAATTGTGGCCAACAATGGTATCAATAATATTAGCCATAGTATGTATAAATAATTTTTGCTAATATTTATTTTTCTAAATATTCTATTAGTAATTGTTGGCATCAAATAAATTAGTAAATAATCTAGCAACTTAATATTATTATTGTTATTATTCATTGGATTATTTAGATTTTTATTGTTATTATTAAAATAATAATAATAATAATAGTCAATTAATTTGTTTAACATAATTAGCATAGCTAATGTTAATAATATCATTGTCCAGGTCAATCTATCTAGTGCATTATACAAATAAATTATATCCGGTATATCATCAAGGTTGACTAGACTAAAATAATTTATATAATATAAATATTTAACTGGCCTAGTACAGTTAAGCATGCCCATAAAAGGCAAATAAGCAAAATCGTTCATAGCTATTGTGTCGAATAGATTTCTATCGATATAATTTTGAAAATATCTATATGTATTGTAACTTAATTCACAATTAATCACATAAAGATGAATACTAAATTAAAAATTAAAAAAATAAAAAAAAATAATTAATTAATATTGTTATTAAAAAAAATTGACATATATGATAAAAAATTTATTAATTAAAAAATTACTATGAATTAATAAATATTTTTTAATAAATAATTAATTAATAATTTTTCTTATTCTTCTAATTACACTAAATTTACATATAAAAAAATATAAATATTGTTATTAATTAGATTATTGATAAAATAAAGTTAAATTATATATGATAGAAAAAATATTAATTAATTAATTAATTAATTAAGCTTATGCACACTAAATTTTTCAGGGCAAACAAAAAAAATAAATAATAATTATTAATAATAATAATATTAACAACTTAAATTAATGAAATTAGAAATTAGAAAAAAAATCTAATATAAATTGTTTTAATTAATTAATTAATTAATTAATTAATTTTCCTATTTCTATAATTACATTAAGTTTTCATATAAAAAATAAAATAAATAAATAAATATTATTAAAAAAAATAATAACTTAATAAGTAAAGAAGTTAAAAAAATAAAATATTCTATGATATAAATTGTTTAATTAATTAACTAATTTTTCTATTTTTTAATTAGACTAAATTTACATACAAAAAAATTTCAAAAAATAAATAAATAAATATTGTTATAAAAATAAGTTAAATTATAAATGATAGAAAAAATATCAATTAATTAATTAATTTATCTATATATATATATACTTATAATTTAATTGTCTAGCTAGTACATCTAATATTTTTAAGCTAGATGATCCTGAATAAAATATCCTAGACATAGTGTTGTTGTCATCATCAACTTTATAGAGACTCTCCTAGGTTAAACAAAAATATTATTTAACATATTAATAACTATATCTATAATATTTTTTAGTAATTGAATACAGAAAAAAAGTTATTATTATTATATTGTAATATTATCTTAATATATATAACTCTATATATTTATATCTAGAATAATATAAATAATATTATTAAAAAATACTTATACTATTTATTTTATTTTAATTTATTTAATTTATAATACAAATAATTATAATTATAATATAATATATATACCTCATTAATATTTATTCCAGCATAAAATGTGTTAGCTGATTTATTTAATTCGTACAATTTATTCATTATTATTAAACTATTATTTTCATTATAAGTATTATAATCATTGCATTCAATAACTGTTAGATTAATATTTTCGACAAATTTTCTTGTAAATAAATTACTAAAATAATTATTTTTTACTAGATATTCATATATATTACCAAGCTCAAAAATATTATCATCATCCATTTTATATAAATATATTTATATTTTTATAAACTAGTATTTTTAATATAAATAATTTAATTTTGACTTATCTTTAATACAATAGATTTGTTTTTTGAATAAAATATATTATTATATGAATATTTTGTATATATATATATAATAATAAAAATCACAATTTATTTTAGCTAAATTAATAAATAAGTTCAATTAGCATATTAGTATATTATTATTATATGAATATACTAATTAATTAATTTATTTAATGTAAGTAAATGGAAATTTTTTTATGAAAACAAAAATTAATTATTAAGATAAATCTAATTAGTTAACAAATAAAAATTAGTTTAACAGCTTTTGTTAATTTTATTAATTGTATTATTAAAAAAAATTACTTTTTGCTTAATTAACAAAAAAAACAATAAATATTTAATATATTATTTTATTTTTGGATATCAATTAAATAGATTTATTGTTCACTTATTGTTACTTCACTATTATTATGATAATAATTTAAAAAATAATACTAGATATATAAGTGTATTTTAATAAACAAAATAGTTTATTGAAAAAAATAATTAGTTTAATAATTATATTATATATATATATATATACAATAATATAACAGTAATACTGCATATAATATAATAACAATTAGTAAATTAATTTGCATAAAAGCATTTTATTTTATTGTTGAATAACATTTTTTGTTTATTATATTTTGAAAACTATAGTAAAAATTTAATAATTTAAATTTATTCAATATTTAGTTATTTAGTAATAATTTATTATTATTATTGAATTAACAATTAAAAAATAATTTGCATAACTATTTATATACATACATTATATATACATACAGTATATATACATACAGTATATATACATACAGTATATATACATACAGTATATATACATACAGTATATATACATACAGTATATATACATACAGTATATATACATACAGTATATATACATACAGTATATATACATACAGTATATATACATACAGTATATATACATACAGTATATATACATACAGTATATATACAAACAGTATATATACATACAGTATATATACATACAGTATATATACATACAGTATATATACATATAACTATATACAATGAAACAGTGAGAGTATTATGGTTTAGACAACTGTATAATTATTAAATTATTTATTATATTTGATAATCAAAATAAATGTTTTAATATATTTATAATTAATTTTATGTTCTGAAAACAAATTTAATAAATAATTATTTTGAATTTAATAAAAAAAAAATTTCAATTATATCTAGTTATTACAATAAACAAATATAAATATTATTATATTTTTAATATAAATAAATAAATAAATAAATATTTTTATATATTAAAAACTATTAAAATAATTATAAAATATAATTATATAATTTATTTATATTAATAGAAATTATTTATTATTTTAGAAAATATTTTTAATAATAACAATATCAATAAATAATTTTATATTCAAATAATAAAAATTTATTAATAATTTAAAAGTTGTATAACTAAAGGTTAAAAGCTAATTAATATTATCTTGTTAATAAATTTGTATTAGATAAATTTTTGTTTATACTAATCAAGTATTATTTTTTATAAGTAAATTATTCGTAATAATTAAATAAAATAAAAAAATTTAATTATTTGTAATAATCAATACTAATACATTATATATTATTTTAATAATTATACATTTTATAAAAATTTCCATAACTAAAATCAAAATAGCAATTAACTCTAAATAAGTTAACAAATAAAATAATGATTTAAGTATTTGCATATTAATTAAATCATTTTGATTATTATCGACTAAATTATAATTTAAAAATATACTTGGTAAATTAGTTTGTTGAATTAAATTTCCAAATATATAATCATACATATTTTTAAATTGTTTCTTCCATTTATATGATATTTGCATTTCAATTAAATTGTTTACTCTATATTTTAGTGGGGAAAAAAATAAAATATAATTAATTAATTAGTAATGTATAAAATAAATATTTTTTTTATTAAAGTAATATATTTTTTTTTTTAAAAAAATATATTTTTAATTAATTAGTTTTTTTTATTGTAATTAATTAAAATTTTATCATAAACTATTTGATTAATAATAATAATTATGATAAAATATTTAGATAATTATACTCTAATAATAATAATAATAATATCAATTATTTATATTAATAATAAAATTAATTAATTAATTAAAAAAAATAATCAACTTACAATAGATTTACTTTAGTTGGAAACTTAAATTTCGGTCCATGACAAAAATATGTATCATAATAGGATAGATAAGGTTGGCCAATATGTATGGGTAAATTACCGAGTACATGTAAATTATGTGCCCACATTTCTACCAGTCCTGGATAATCAAACCAAACCGATTTACGTTGTTTTCGGATAAAATCTTTCGGACCTAATTCAAGTAAATCACTATAGTATTCGTCAATTACAGTCGACTCTAGCAATCTGGCACGCCTACCTAGTGTTGACAACAACAACATAAAATCATAAATTTATAAAAATAATAGACTAAAAAAAATTTCTAGAAAGTTTCTAAAGAAAAGAAAAATTTTATATAAAAGAAAAAATAATAGAAAAATTTCTAGAAAGTTTCTTTGAAAAAAATTATCTATGGGATTACAATGGTTAATTTTGTTTTTCTCGATATATAAATAATAATAACAGTATAAATAATAATTAAATATTAATATTGATATTTTAAATTATTAATTAATAAGTAACAATTATAATCAATTTAATTACATTAAATTCTTATATACAGAATATATATATACATAATATATATATATACAGAATATATATATACATAATATATATATATACAGAATATATATATATAATATATATATATATATATATATATATATATATATATATATATACAGAATATATATATAATAAAATGAGTATTAAAATTTTCTAAAACTGATTATTAAGATATTAAATAATTTTAAATTATTTTACATATATATGTATCGCATTTTGTATAGTAGTGTAATGTAATAATGTAATATATTAGATAGTATATTATTTGTCTCATTATTTATTATATATATATATTTATATTATTACAATAGCTATAGATATGGGGATAGCCATAGTTTAACTAGAATGTTAAATTTCTATAGAAATTTTCTAGAAACTTTATCTATTTGCTTATCTACCCAATTGATTATATTTATCAACTAATTCATTGATTTCCGGTTTATTAGTTTGTTTAGACATATAAGTTAAATCATTTTTCTGGTGTCTAATAGTAGGCATTAAATTAATATCAATTGAATCATCCGATAATAAATCGTCAATTGTGTCCAAATAAGTTGTTTGTCTAAATTAATAATAATAATAATTAATATAAAAATAATAATTTTTTTTGTGTAAATAAAATTCTATTTTTAAAATAAATAATTAATTCAATAAATAAAACAATAACAACAATTAAATTTAGAAAATTTAATATAATATATATTTTTTTTAAATAAATAATTAATTTTGTTATTTAGTAAATAAAATTCTATTTTTCAAAAATAATTAAATTAATTTAAAAAAATTTATTTTAAAAATATATATTTAAACAAACCTGATAACTAAACTTCTAAATAAATCGTTAGTAATTATCAAAATCAATGGTATTAATACTAAAAGCCATAAAATAAATTGAAAATTTCTAGTTGACAACAATGATCTTGATATAAAAATTTTATTTGTTATCAATGGCATTAAATAAACTAACAAATGATCTAATAGTATATTTATGATAATTTGATTACAATTTTGATGATGATGATTATTATTATTATTATTATTATTAATATGAAAACTAAAATAATTTACTAAAATTAGACTGGTCATCGACAATGTTAATAGTAGCCAAACATATTTATCCAATGAATTATATAAATAGATAATATCTGGTAAACTATCATGGTTAATTATGCTAAACATTTGTATATAATAATGAAATTTTGATGGCCTTGAACAATTCAATTTTAAAGTCAAATGATCCTCATAGTTATAACCAAAATAGCCATAGATATCAATTAGATTCAATTGTATGTATTGAATAAAATTATCAAATGATTGTACACATTTGATAACATATATATGTACACTAGATTTATTAATTAAAAAGATATAATAACATTAAAAATAAAATAAATAAATTAGTTAATATTATTTTTTATTAATAATAAACAAAAATTTATATATTATTTAAATTTAGTTTATTTTTTCATTGAAATAAAAACTAATATATAAATATTGGTTATAATTATTATTATTTTTAAAAATAAAATCTAATAATTTTTTTTGTCATGTAAGTATTTTTTTGTTGCTAAAACAATAAATAATTTTTTTTTAATTACCTATAATTAAGTTGTCTAGCTAATTCAACTAATACGCTGATACCAATTGATGATAAATAAATAATTTTAGGCGACGAGTCGTCAATTTCAAAAAATAAATCCTTAAATACAAAATATATATAAAAATTTAAAACAAAATAATTGTAATAATAATAATAATAATAATTAATTTATTTATTTATTTTATTTAAAAAATTCAATTCAATTATATTTACCATATAGGGAGTTATAGCTGCATAAAATGTATTCAATGATTTATTTAGTGATGTTAATTCAGCAACAATATTATTATTAGTAGTAGCATTATTTCTACTATTATTATTAGTAGTAGTTATTGTTAAACAATCAATAAAAGTAAAATTAATATTTTCCACAAATTTTTTCCAAATAAAATTATTATCAGTTGGCAAATAGTCAATAATATTGCCTAACTCTAGTATATTTTTAAAACTCATGTTCATTTAATTAATTATTTTCTCAATAATTTCCTAATTATTTTTTAAAAAAAAGTTAACACAATAATTAATGATTTTTTTTTTGTAGTAAAATTCTTATTACTAAAAAAATAATCAACAAAATTAATGGTATATATAATAGTTTATTTTAATATAAATTTTATATTATAAATATATATATTTATAATTTAACTTATCTTAAATACAAGATATATGTTATATTGTTTTTATTTTGAATATATAAAAATATTATTATTTGACTATTTTGCATAAAAATTATATATATATATATATATATATATATATACAACAAAAAAAAACAAATTTTATTTTTAACTAAATTAAATAATTAAATAAATTCAATTTTTTTTGATTGAGTAATAAATTTATGCTTAATTGTTATTTCTAGTAAACAATTTTATTACATTATTATTATTATAATAATGTTTTATTTTATTTTATTTTTTGATTATCTGAATATATAAATTAAGTAATTAATATACGAATGTAAAATTGTAAGTAAATTGAAATTTTATTATATGAAAAAAAATATTTATTAAAATAAATTTAATTAGTTGACAAAATTAGTTGATTGAATACGTTTTATTAAGTTTATTAATTGTATTATAAAAAAATTACTATTTGCTTAATTAATATAAAAAAATACTTAATATATATATCAATTAAATAGATTTATTGCTACAATATATTATACTTTATTATTATTATTATTATTATTATAAAAACAAATTAAAAATAATACTAATTATATCAGTATTGCAATCAAACTATGATAAATAATTTATTAATAAAAATAATTAGTTTATTAAATATAATATATTTAACAGATATATACAGTTATAATATAATATCATAGATATTTTGTTTATAAAATAATTTGGAAAAAAGCTTTTTATTTTTGTTTACAATTTATTTTGTGATACTAACAAAATAAAATTTACATATATTTAATTATTTATTTTTGTTGTTGTTGTTGTTGTTGAATAACATATTTTTTTTAAAGACTAGTAAAAATTTGTAATTTAAATTTATAGATTAAATAAATATTAAGATGCTATTAGTATTAGTAATAATAATTATTATTATTGAATTAACAATAAAATAAAATAAAAAACAATATATTATTATTATTTAGAATATTTAAATATACTTATATATATTATTAATATCTAATTATTTAATTAATAATATAATAGTATTTATTTATTTATGTCAGTAGTCAATGGTGTAGTTTTATATTTATTTTAAAAATCAATTATATAATAATAAAATTAAAATAAATAATTTCACCAACAAATATTATTAACAATATACTAATCATTATATAAGTTGTAATCAAAAACAATGATTTCAATAGTTTCATATTAATTAAATCATCATTATTATTATTATTATTATTATTATCCATATGATTATATTGATAACTATTTAACAATTGTACTAGATTAGAATTTTTTATCGAATTAGCTAGTACATAATTTTTTATATAATCTAAATGATTGTTCCAATGTTGAATTAATCCCGATTCAAATATAACTTTATTACTATAAACAGGTATATATATAAAAAATAATAATTAAAAAAAACAAAAATATTGTTTATATTTAACTATAGATTTATTAAATCAATTAAAATTAATTAAATCATTTAAAATCATTTAAAATCAATTAAATCAATTAAAATTAATTAAATTAAATATATATATAAAAAATAATAAACAATCAAAAATATTGTTAAATTAAAAATTACTAACATTTATTATATAATTAATTAAATAAATTAATAATTAATTCATACATACATTTGATGTGCTTGATCTGGAAATTTGAACCCGGGTCCATGACAAAATAATGATACATAATTATTAACATAGGGTTGACCAATGTGTACCGGCAAATTAACCATGGTATTAATTGTACGTATCCACAATTGTTGATCATCATGATAATTAAGCCAGACAATTTTCGAATATTTAGCTAAAAATTTACTAGTACTCAAATGGACTAGATCATCTAAAATTTTATCTATTATATCAGTATCTATTAGATCTGCATAATTACCAAGCTTAGTTAATTTTTCAACATATATTTCCGTATCAATATCAAGGTCATAGTCTATATTTTCGCTTATATGTTGTAAAATTACAATAACTAAATTGTAATTATTTGGATAATATATTTTAATATTATTATTTTCATCTAATATATAATCAAGTGTATCAATTGGAGTTGATTGTCTATAAAGTAAATTTAAAAAAAATAAAATTGTTAAAACAAAATTATTTAATAAAAAAAAACAAATATTCAAATTTATAATACTATACCTGACAACAATATTTTTCAATAAATCATTATTAATTGTGGCCAACATTGGTATCAATAATAATAGCCATAGTATATATAAATAATTTTTACTAATATTTAATTTTATAAATATTCTATTAGCAAGTGTTGGCATCAAATAAATTAATAAATAATCTAGCAACTTAATATTATTAGTATTAGTATTTTTAATCGGATTATTTAGATTTTTATTATTTTTATAATAATAATCAATTGATTTGTTATAGATAATTAGCATGGCTAATGTTAGAAATATCATTGTCCAGGTTAATGTAT